TGTATAGTAGAGTGCTGTTTGAATGTTTGTGTATAGTAGAGTGCTGTATGATTGTGTGTAGTAGTCTTGTATGATTATGTGTGTAGTAGAGTGCGGTATGAATGTGTGTGTAGTATAGTGCTGTTTGAATGTGTTTGTATAGTAGAGTGCTGTATGAATGTGTTTAGTAGTGTTGTATGTTTGTGTATAGTAGAGTGCTTCATGAATGTGTCTGTAGTAGAGTATTGTATGAATGTGTAAATGAGGGCACATTTTGTATTTCAAAGTGCTTTGACTATCTTGATAAGATGTATAGGTACTATCTAAGTACAGTCCATTTACCATTTTTCAAGAATTCAAGTTTCTTTATTTGTTTTACCCACTACTGTGGTACATGTGGTGGAACTAGATTATGTCTCAGTTACAACCAACAAAAGTATAAAATGTAAAAGAAAAACAATGATAAGATCTAAAATATGAACTAAAAAAAAATTTAATCTAAAAGTACACTAAGCACTAATAGCATAAAAACAATCAAAAACAATACAACGAACATCAGCACAATCATTTGTCTGTGTGAGCAGATGAGCTTGCGTGAACACAGCAACATGGAACAGATCAGCAGCAACATGAAACAGATCAGCAGCAACATGAAACAGATCAGCAGCAACATGATGTAATTTTTCACAGTGATTATTCTGGTTAGAGATTCATGAGTCTAACAGCCTCAGGGTAGAAGCTGTTCCTCAGTCTAGTGGTTCTACACTTAATGCTCCTTAACCTCCTTCCTGAGGGGAGTGGGGCAAAAAGTGTGTGTGCTGGGTGAGTGAGGTCCTTCATGATGCAGGTGGCCCTCTTCCTGCATCTGGAGGTGTAGATGTCTGTGATGGTGGGGAGACTGACTCCAACATCTGTGCAGCCTTCACCACTCTCTGCAAAGCTTTTCTTTCTGCAGCTGTGCAGCCTCCATGCCACACGTTGATGCTGGAGCACAGGATGCTCTCCACTGCACACCTGTAGAAGGAGGTGAGGACTGAGCTTCCAGACCAGCTCGCCTCAGCCCTCTGAGGAAGTAGAGTCTCTGATGAGCTTTCTTCATCAGGCTGGTGGTGTTGTTGCTCCAGCTGAGGTTGTTGTTCAGGTATACAGGTCCTTCTCAAAAAATTAGCATATTGTGATAAAGGTCATTATTTTCCATAATGTAATGATAAAAATGAAACTTTCATATATTTCAGATTCATTGCACACCAACTGAAATATTTCAGGTCTTTATTTGTTTTAATACTGATGATTATGGCATACAGCTCATGAAAACCCAAAATGCCTGTCCCAAAAAATTAGCATATCATGAAAAGGTTCTCTAAACAAGCTATAAACCTAACCATCTGAATCAACGACGTAACTCTAAACACCTGCAAAAGATTCCTGAGGCTTTTAAAAACTCCCAGCCTTGTTCATTACTCAAAACCGCAATCATGGGTAAGACTGCCGACCTGACTGCTGTCCAGAAGGCCATCATTGACACCCTCAAGCAAGAGGGTAAGACACAGAAAGAAATTGCTGAACCAATAGGCTGTTCCCAGAGTGCTGTATCAAGGCACCTCAGTGGAAGTCTGTGGGAAGGGAAAAGTGTGGCAGAAAACGCTGCACAACGAGAAGAGGTGACCGGACCCTGAGGAGGATTGTGGAGAAGGGCCGATTCCAGACCTTGGGGGACCTGCAGAAGCAGTGGACTGAGTCTGGAGTAGAAACATCCAGAGCCACCGTGCACAGGTGTGTGCAGGAAATGGGCTACAGGTGCCGCATTCCCCAGGTCAAGCCACTTTTGAACCAGAAACAGTGGCAGAAGCGCCTGACCTGGGCTACAGAGAAGCAGCACTGGACTGTTGCTCAGTGGTCCAAAGTACTTTTTTCGGATGAAAGCAAATTTTGCATGTCATTCGGAAATCAAGGTGCCAGAGTCTGGAGGAAGACTGGGGAGAAGGAAATGCCAAAATGCCAGAAGTCCAGTGTGAAGCACCCACAGTCAGTGATGGTCTGGGGTGCCATGTCAGCTGCTGGTGTTGGTCCACTGTGTTTTATCAAGGGCAGGGTCAATGCAGCTAGCTATCAGGAGATTTTGGAGCACTTCATGCTTCCATCTGCTGAAAAGCTTTATGGAGATGAAGATTTCATTTTTCAGCACGACCTGGCACCTGCTCACAGTGCCAAAACCACTAAGACTTGAAGCTCTCGACCTTGACCTCTCTAAGTGTCTTTAAGAATCTGTTGGACTCCTGGCAGGGTCCAATGCAGACATGTTCCTGTTTTTAGTTTTCTACATTTGTCTTGGAATCTAGCTGTTTTTTGTTTTGTTACCTTTTTTCCTTTTAGCCATCCTATTAGTTAAAAAAAAAAAAAAAAAAAAAAAAAAAAAAAAAAAAAAAAAAACTGTAGTATGAGTTTTTATAACTGTTTATTGTTGTTGCTGTTGTCCATTGTTGTCATCTTTCTTTGTTGAAATCAGGTCTCTCTTGTAAATGAGTCCTCGAGGCTCAATGGGATTTACCTGTATAAATAAAGGTTGATTGAAATGGTTTACTGACCATGGTATTACTGTGCTCAATTGGCCTGCCAACTCTCCTGACCTGAACCCCATAGAGAACCTGGGGGATATTGTGAAGAGAAAGTTGAGAGACGCAAGACCCAACACTCTGGATGAGCTTAAGTCTGCTATCGAAGCATCCTGGGCCTCCATAACACCTCAGCAGTGCCACAGGCTGATTGCCTCCATGCCACGCCGCATTGAAGCAGTCATTCATGCAAAAGGATTCCTGAGCAAGTATTGAGTGCATAACTGAACATGATTATTTGAAGGTTGGTGTTTTTTGTATTATAAACACTCGTCTTTCATTGGTGGGATGAAACATGCTAATTTTTTGGGACAGGCATTTTGGGTTTTCATGAGCTGTATGCCATAATCATCAGTATTAAAACAATTAAAGACCTGAAATATTTCAGTTGGTGTGCAATGAATCTGAAATATATGAAAGTTTCATTTTTATCATTACATTATGGAAAATAATGACCTTTATCACAATATGCTAATTTTTTGAGAAGGACCTGTACACTCAAGTACTTGTAGCTGGAGACCACTTCCACCACAGAACCTCCTATGTTCATGGGGTGTAGGCGTGTTTGTTTTTTCGGATGTCCACAATCATCTCCTTCATCTTCTTCACATTGATGTGAAGGTTGTTCTTCCTGCACCAGCTCTCCAGGTGCTCCACGTCCTGCCTGTAGCTGGACTATCGTAGTTTTTGATGCATCCCACCACCATTTTGGAATTTGAGTTGTTTGTGTGTGTACTCAGTTCTTCTTCTTCTGTGTGTAGGTGTGTGTACTCTGCTGCAGTGTGGTATTATAACCACCTGGCCGGTTTGATCAACATTATGATGATCACAGAGGACAAAAAAGCGGTGACTCAATTCAGCAGCTTGAACTCTGGAGTTTTCGTCATCTCCGTTGAGGTACATCTTTTCACTCAGAACTAGGGATGCACGATATTGGATTTTTGGCCGATATGCCGATATGTTAAAACTTATTCAGCCGATAATCGATGCCGATATTGATATTTTGTATACTTCCCTTTGTCAGAACATAGCCCTTTTATTTAGGCTTGTTTGCTACAAAAATTGTGCAACAGCTGTAAGAGCTGGTGACATATATTCAGTCACAGCCATATGATATTCATAGCACTTTAATTTATATTAAATGAAACATGTTGAATGTTATTTATTAGCATTAGTCACGTGCGATGCTGTCTCACTTGTGGAGGCTTGTTCCAGGTTCCTATAGCTGCAGTGTGGGATCCTCTGCACTCCTGTGCATGAAGGACAGACTTTTTAAGTTCAAAGTTTTTGTCTGTTAATTGTGCCGTAAGACTAATCATGGTAACGGGGCTAACATGACGTCCAAATGTCTGTGGTAAAACTCATCCAAGTGCTATCGGTTATTAGCTTCTCAAAACGTCGGAAATGACGGCTTGTAACTTGGGTAACGTTACGTTGGAAAAATATATCCAACTGCGGACGATGTAGCGAGGCTCCACGTAGTCCACAAATCTTCAGAATCCAACATCCTCATAAAACTTCCACACCGCCAACATTTTGAAATTTTCTCTCCGCTGTGAGATTGGGTATGGGACGTCATCGCTTTGTGCTGCCGCTGTAGGCAAAAACAGCACCTTTTATATCGGCGAGTTATATTAATGGAACGGCAGATGTCCGATATTGAAATTTAACGTGAATATTGTCTGATATTGATACCATGCCGATAATATTGTGCATCCCTACTCGGAACACTTCTGACACATTTAACAATCAGAAAACCCTGTCTATGCTCCTGCTGGACGTATGAGTAACAGAAATGTGAAACCCTTTATGAATGCGTCCATCAGGCAGTTCACAGTAAATTGTTCAACTCAATGAATGTTTAGAACCTAAAATGTCATCAGAGTATGGAGCCACGTTGGATCTTATATTTATTAAGACCACTTTCTCAAGATCCTCCTCCTCAAGCCGTTGCCCCGACTCTGGATAAAGCAACAGATGATGGATGGAAGTTCTCCTAAACTTTTAAAATCTTCATATTTGTTTTGTGTGTGGCCCAGGATTATTTACAGAACTTCTGGCCAGATTTGCAGGTGGCTCACGACCTCTACAGCTCCATCTCTCAGGCTCTGCAGGAGAAGGAGGCTGACAACTCACAGAGAGAGTTTTCAGAACATCTTCCTGCAGAAGTCCTTGAAGCTGGAATCAAATCTGGACGCTACCTTCAGGTAGGGCTGCACGATATGGACCAAAATTAAGATCTCTATATTTAGGATAAATCACGATATACGACATATCTCGATATTCAAACATCTGCTAAGTTCATGGCACAAACCAATGCAGACATGTTCCTGTTTTTAGTATTTTATATCGCTTTATATTGTAGCTGTTTTTGTTTCGTTGTTTTAACATCATTTTCTTCCATTGATTTTTTTTTTCAATTCATATGCTTTCTTTTATGATTGTCTACTGTTGTCATTATTTGTTAAAAACAGGTCTCTCTTGTAAATGAGCCGTAGCAGAAGAAAGCAGAAAGGACATGTTTGCTGAAGTAGGTTTGAATAAACAGAAATGAGCACAGAAACTACAAACCGGATTCCAAAAAAGTTGGGACACTAAACAAATTGTGAATAAAAACTGAATGCAATGATGTGGAGATGGCAAATGTCAATATTTTATTCGTAATATAATATAAATGACAGTTCAAAAGTTTAATCTGAGTAAATGTAACATTTTATTGGAAAAATATGTTGATTCAAAATTTCACAGTGTCAACAAATCCCAAAAAAGTTGGGACAAGTAGCGATAAGTGGCTGGAAAAAGGAAATTGAGCTTATAATGAACAGCTGGAAGACCAATTTACACTAATTAGGTCAATTGACAAGATGATTGGGTATAAAAAGAGCTTCTCAGAGTGTCAGTGTCTCTGAGAAGCCAAGATGGTAAGAGGATCACCAATTCCAGCATTGTTGCGCAGAAAGATAGTGCAGCAATATCCGAATGGTGTTACCCAGCGTAAAATAGCAAAGACTTTTAAGTTATCATCATCAACCGTGCATAACATCATCAAAAGATTCAGATAATCTGGAACAATTGCTGTGCGTAAGGTAAGGGTCAAGGCCGTAAAACTCTACTGGATGCTCATGATCTCCGGGCCCTTAAACGTCACTGCACCTCAAACAGGAATGCCACTGTCAAGGAAATAACAGAATGGGCTCAGGAATACTTCCAGAAAGCATTGTCAGTGAACACAATCCACCGTGCCATCCGCCGTTGCCAGCTGAAACTCTACAGTGCAAAGAGGAAGCCATTTCTAAGCAAACTCCACAAGCTCAGACGTTTGCACTGGGCCAGGGGTCATTTAAAATGGAATGTGGCAAAATGGAAGACTGTTCTGTGGTCAGATGAGTCACGATTTGAAGTTCTTTATGGAACACTGGGACGCCATGTCATCCGGACCAGAGAGGACAAGGATAGCCCAAGTTGTTATCAACGCTCCGTTCAGAAGCCTGCATCACTGATGGTATGGGGTTGCATGAGCGCTTGTGGCATGGGCAGCTTGCATGTCTGGAAAGGCACCATTAATGCAGAGAAGTATGTTCAGGTTCTAGAACAACATATGCTCCCATCTAGACGTCATCTCTTTCAGGGAAGACCCTGCATTTTTCAACACGATAATGCCAGACCACATTCTGCAGCAATCACAACATCATGGCTACGTAGGAGAAGGATCAGGGTACTGAAATGACCAGCCTGCAGTCCAGTTCTTTCACCTATAGAGAACATTTGGCGCGTCATAAAGAGGAAGGTGCGACAAAGAAGGCCCAAGACGATTGAACAGTTAGAGGCCTGAATTATACATGAAATCCAAAGGCCGGAGGTTGGAGTGACTATAAGAAATCCGGTCTCTCAAATCACAAGGAACTGTGCGAACCACGTCATCCAGTATAAGGACAGTATTTCTCAAGCCAAATCCAGCTATTTCTCTGACATCATCAGTTCCAATGTTGGCAATTCAAAGACTTTGTTCTCTCTCCTTAACCGTTCAGTCTCATCTCCTAACTCATTACCCTCTCACATGGTTTCCACAGAATTTTGCAACTCTCTGATGTCCTATTTCAATGAAACGATTCTTTCAATTCATAAACACCTTGGACCTAATACCGCCCCCTGCATCTATGTTGAACTCCCACCTCCCTTTCTCCCCTTCTCTGTCTTCTCCCTCCCTTCTGCTGATGACATTGCTGACATTATCAGCAAGTCTAAGTCCTCATCCTGTCAGCTCGATCCATTTCCCACAGTTCTTGTTAAATCCTGTCTCCTGTCTCTGCTCCCCATCATCACTAACATCATCCACTCCTCCCTAACCTCTGGCATTGTTCCCACAGCTTTCAAATCTGCTGCCATCACCCCCATCATCAAGAAACCAGGTCTTGACTTTACCAACTTCAGTAATCTTCGTCCAATCTCTAATCTGCGCTTTATTTCCAAAGTTCTTGAAAAAGCCGTTGCTAGTCAACTTCACTCTCACCTATCCAACAATAACATTTATGAAGAGTTTCAATCTGGTTTTCGCCCCCACCATAGCACCGAAACAGCTCTAATAAAAATAACTAATCACCTTCTTCTTGCTGCTGACTCTGCTCTTCTGTCTATCCTCATTTTACTGGATCTAAGTTCTGCCTTCGACACAATCTGTCATTCTATCCTCCTCAACAGACTAACCTCCATAGGCATCTCGGGTACTCCGTTAGACTGGTTCAAATCATATCTCTGACCGCACTCAATTCATTCAGCTCAAATCCTTTCGTTCCCAGTCTTCCCCCGTCTCCACGGATGTCCCTCAAGGCTTTGTCCTCGGACCCCTCCTCTTCCATCATTTACCTCCTTCCTCTAGGCCACATCTTCCGTAAATTTGGTGTCCATTTTCACTGTTATGCTGATGACACACAGCTCTACTTGTCAACAAAACCAAACTCCACCCACCCACCCTCCATCCTCATCGACTGTCTCAATGAGCTAAATCACTGGTTTTCTAACAATTTCCTACAACTAAACAGTGACAAAATGAAATCATTCTTGTCGGTACCAAAAACTCTCTTTCAAAATCAGAAAATCTTCTCATCCCCCTTAACAACTCTCTGCTATCCCCCTCGCCTCAGGTCAAGAGTCTTGGTGTCATCCTCGACACCACTCTCTCCTTCACTTCACACATCAACAACGTCACTCGATCTGCCTATTTCCATCTCTGAAATATTAACCGTCTCCGCCCTTCTCTCACACCCCGCTCCACAGCCATCCTTGTGCACAGTCTTGTGACTTCTCGGATTGACTACTGCAACTCCCTTCTTTATGGCCTCCCCAACAAATCTCTCCAGAAGCTTCAATTGGTCCAGAACTCAGCTGCCCGTGTCATCACTCAAACCTCCTCCTATAACCACATCACTCCAGTCCTGCAGCAGCTCCACTGGCTCCCGGTTAAATCACGCATCGTCTTCAAAATTCTTCTCACTTTCAAAGCTATCCACAACCTTGCCCCTCCGTACCTAACTGACCTCCTACACATCTCCATTAGGGCTGCAACTAACGATTATTTCAATAATCGATTCATCGGTCGATTTTTTTTTTGGATTAATCGATTCATCGGCAAAAAAACCCCCAACATTTTAATTTCCACCCCTTTATTCCAAAATTGAACATTTGACTGACATAGAAATTCGCACAAAAAACAGGTTGCTATTTGACTATTCTGTTAGTAAAATATTGAATAATAAAAAAGTTAGTCCAATAGCTTAAAAAAATAAATGTACACAAATATATATACAAATGTATATCCTGATGCATGCTCAATAATCCAGGTAGAAAAATCCCAAAAAGTTCAATCTGGTCCTCTGGACATTCAAAAAAAAACAAAAAACAAAACAAAGCAAAAAAATATAGAAACGTTTCGTCTCTCATCCAAGAGACTTCCTCAGTCTGAGGTGCTGTATCAGCTCAGTCTCTTAAATAGCACCTTCTTAGAGTGGATCAACCAGTTTTGCTGCTGACAACCAAAACCAGCTGATCACATGCTCAAGAAGGACCATCAGCCTAACAGAGGACCAGATTGAACTTTTTTGGATATACAAATGTATCTTTATACCTGCACAATATGTAGCTACTTTGTAAAATGTGTCCTTGAGGGAAGAGTGTAACCTGGATTAAAAGTGTGGGTTATTGTAACCTGGATTAAAAGTGTGGGTTATTGTAACCTGGATTAAAAGTGTGGATTATTGTAACCTGGATTAAAAGTGTGGATTATTGTAACCTGGATTAAAAGTGTGGATTATTGTAGTGAAGCCTTTGTCTTCATCCATCGACAGAGGCCTCATGTCAGTGATGATCATGTTCAGGATGTTTCAGTGAAGACAGCTGCTGCTGTGGTGTCATGATGTCTGTCCATCATGAAGGATGATGTTTGTTGTTGTTTTCTGGAATGAGACAGTAAATATGTATTATAGCATAATTTACAGCAACTCAAGAAATGCCTCGTTTCACTTACAGTGTTAGGTTCAGGCAAAAGTAGCTAAAAGAGCAATTAAACACACACACACACACACACACACACACACACACACACACACGCACACACATACACACACACACACATATAAAATACTTAATTACACACATTTGAGTAGATGTAATAAATTACTTTAATTCCTGTTTAAATGCAATTCATCCTGCCATACCTGCAGTGTCTTCAGACTTTGCCAGCAAATTAAAAGTTGAAGCTTAATCATTAAATTATTATCTTTGTGTTAGATTTATTTATAAATCACATTTAAACACTGCTTGTACCAATTAAATTAAATAAAAAGTAACCCAAGTTCTCTATCACCGTCATTAATCAGATAAACAAACAAACAAACAAACAGCTTCATCTACCAGACAGACTGACGTTACGTTTTCTCTCTTGAAACAGAACAAAGTGTTAAATTGTGGAGACTCACCTGCAACACGTGAAGAGTTGTATCAGCTGCAGCTCCTTCCTCCTCCTCGTGACTCCGACATGTTTACGTTCATCTCCGTGGTTCTCTCGCGTCGTGTCGGTGATTTTCAGAGCGGCATGCTTCTCATTTTTTATCTTTGTGAAGAGCTCCCACAATTTGGAGGACTTGGGTCGAACAGTTTTCGCTGCGTTGGTCATTTGTAAAATTTACTTAATTTCCTTTGAAAACAGCCTCTG